TCATAATTTCCTGATTTTATTATTATTCAAATCAGACATATTTTTATTACTATGATGACATACCTTTAATTTCAATCGAGTTCTTCCCTCTTCATCTAAAACCTCTCTTCTTCAATCTCATCTTCATATGTTGCAGCATCAAAAGGACGCGTTTCCACACTAAGAAAATTTGGAAGCTTTGCAAAATGAACTTCACTACCTAAATTTGGTGTAATTTTTGGAATTTCTACTTCAATTTTGGTTAGTGGCACTTCTTCTGGTTCGTCATCACCTTGCTCATCGCCTTCCATCTGCATAGCAAATAATGGTTGTCATGGTTACTTCATAACTGAATAGTGTATATGCTTTAATTGTGTTAGTGTAAAATAGCTCATAATCTATTTTTGTCAAAATTATTTTTTGTGAAAAATCAATTTTGCTTTTTTTCACAAAGTTTATTTTCATATTCATTTGACAAGTTGAATGTAAAATAGAAAAATACCTGTATGTCATTTGTTTTCTCTGTCGTTGCCATGGATTTTTCATCATCACTTTCTGAACTGATGTCGCCAGCATCTCCGAACAAGTCTTCATGTGTGGCACCTGCAGCTGCAAAAAAAAAGTAATTGAATATTATAAAACAGCAGAACAAATTAGATCTATCAGTGAATGGATGCTCAAGTCTGAATCACAAGTATTGTGGTGACTGCTGGATGGCACAACTACTGGACAATCTTTATGTTATCTGAAGAAACTTTCAATAAAATTCAAGCCTTTTCTTTTTTACCTTTTCACTACCAGTTCCCCATTCTTATCACAAATTCACAAAGTAGTTTATAGTCTGCACTTTCCTTCAGAAGATTGGGACAAAAACAGCAACAATTTTTGAGTAAAATCTGTCAATTGACTCAAATTTTGTCTGTTGGCTCCAAAATTAGGGCTCATTGCCAGAAATATTTAAGAATATAGGAAAAAAGTGTGGAAACAAGCAGCCAGTCGGCTGAGATAGCTCCACTGTTAGCAACGCACATTTCAATTAAAGAACAGAAGATATCATTAGAAAATGAACAAAATGTA